GAGCGTGGGCAGCAGGGCCCCTTGGACGCTCGGCGATTCCTCGCGGGATCGATGCTGGATGCGTGCGCTGTGCTGACGGGATTGCACGAACCGTCCGGGTGGACGTGTGCAGCGGCGGGAGGCGGGCTTGCATGCCTGCTAGCAGCTTCGCCTGTTTTTTGTTTCGTGTATTTTCGCGAATATTCTTTAGTGCATGAAGACGGGTCATGTGCCCCTCCTCTCACCGTCTTGGCGTTTGCAGGGCCGAAGGCATTTGCTGCAGAGGTGGCGAGAAATGGGCGTCCCGAAGTTTTACCGATGGATCAGCGAACGGTATCCGTCGCTCAGCGAAGTGATTGCTGACGAACAGGTATGTGCTGGTTGTTTTCCATTTGAGGCCTGTGTTGACTGTTCGGTGCGGATGGCACGCAAGTGTGCATGTTCCGCCGAAAGAAATCGTCGATTAGGCCTACTTTCTTTTTTGTTTCTCTCGGCCATGCCAGCATCGAAGGCCTGCGCTCGGCGTGTGCCCTAACAAAGGGATAGCTCGAGCGAGCAGTCTTGCTGTTGCTGGTATGTTGGTTTTGCATTTCTGGTTCTGTTTGAGATCCCGGAGTTCGATAATTTGTATTTGGATATGAATGGCATAATCCATGGCTGCTCGCATCCGGACGACGAGGATGTCTCGTTCCGAATATCCGAGGATCAGATTTTTCGCGATATCTTCCATTATGTTGATGTGAGTTTCCCCCTGATGTGAGCTGATAGTACCTTCTCTCACTGGGAGCCTCAGTGTCGTTTCGGGGATTAAGATGTACTTCTTGGAAGCGCATACACTGACAGATACATTCCTTGCCATGAGAAATTTGCGCTGTGTTTTCGAAAATTACGCATTATCGATCGATCTCCAGTTCACTTTTTTGCCCGTTTGGTCCATTTTCATAGGTTTGTTGGCTCACTTCCACTACGTGACTGGGCTAGAAATGAGTTTGTGTGAGATGCGTCGAGGGAATGTATTTTTGCGGACCACTTTTGAATTTCAGGTTCTTTTTGGTATAATTAAACCAAGAAAAGTGTTCTTCATGGCTATCGATGGTGTTGCGCCTCGCGCCAAAATGAACCAGCAAAGAGCGCGACGCTTTATGTTTGTCCTTTCCTCACTGACATTCATTGTGCTAAAAATTCAAATTTTCTAAATCTCATGAAACTGCCTCGCAATTTTGACTTACTGCATTGTGTTGAAGGTCTGCGAAGAATTCACAAGATGCATTGCAAAAGGCGATGAACAAGGGAGTGCCAATACCCAATGAGAAGCCGTTCGATTCGAACTGTATAACTCCTGGTTTGTGCAACATCGCTTTAGCCTCAGTTTTGTTCGTTAGATTTGCAAACTAACGGCGAATCCAGCTTCCCACCATCCTCCTTGTTTCGTTTTCTACTGCCAACCGTCTTCCCTCATTTTTCAAGTCCCTCATTCTGTTCTTCATCCCTCCTTTGCTGAGCTCAGTTTCACTTTTATCCAGTTTCATTTGATGAACGGAA